CCTCACACTAAGTATATCTATTATTTTTTTAATTTTTCCATGTTTATTGTAAATGGATTTAATGTGTACATTTTTGCGAAGGGCATTTCCGACTCTTGTCAAAATATGTCTGTATATGTATATAAAAGCTTGTTTCACATTCCTATTTCTTGGTCACTAATAAGTCAATCATTCAGGCCAAATTGTTTAATTAATCGAACATAGATGTATTCGTCAGTAAATAGATATTTCCATTTTTTATTTCATTTAAAAATAAAAACAAAATTTAATATTTTTCCCCGCTTTTATTTAGTTCAGTTACAATATAAGAGCAAATTAAAAGTTAACTGCTAAATATTTAATATTCATAAGGGTAATAAAAAACCGTTTTACGGAATTGCACTAATAATTATTTAAAGATTTCAAATTTATAAACTATAAAGTAATTCATTACAAAAAAAATTGTCTTTTGTTATGTTCTGAATAAAAAAAAAATACTCAAACATTTCCTGTACTAGTGGTTCTCAAATAGTTCTGTTTTAATAGGAATTCCTTCCGTTTCCAAGTACTTTAGAGTTACAGATTCAACAATGACTTATTGGGAACCAACATCTTTAAGTCAAGCCTATTCCATTAAAGTAGGACATCCAACAGTTAATATCCAAAAAATGGTATTACTTGTATTATTGGCTTTCCTCTCATCAGCGCTAATTAAACTGCCACCAGCTATGTACAGCTTAAGTAAATAGTGCACCAGCAATATGGTTCTGGCGACCTTAAATGTATACCGGCTCGTTATTCATTTACACAGAAACGCATGCGATTACGCACTCACACCTCCAATGCCACCGCAATTGTCACTCGAAATATATTGGTTCAATTGAAAAGCTCTTCAGATTACAACAATGAAAATTCGCTGATGCAATATTTTATTTATCAATTACATGCCGCTTACCATGGACACGGATTAAATTGAAAAATGTTCAAAAATACACTCACGCAAGACACTGGCGACAACATCCAGACTATGCCGAAGACTGGGGGGACAAGAACATTTTTCATTGTCATTGAGACAAGGCATACGAGCATAACATTGCCATGGCCACTGACTAGCGCTCAGATAAGCAGCTCAGCTTAGCAACGGACAATAAGCTGAGGACAACACCAAGCGGGCCAAATCATAACTAGCCATAATGAGATTTGTCAACCGATACAGATACCCGTGGTCAATGTTTATTTATAGCCACAGTTGTGGTCTCGGATTCTTTTTCGTTTCACTAACAACGCACAAGGCAAGCGCTGATAAGCGCGTATATGGGCCTTCGATGCCCATTCACATAAATCTTGCACAATATTAACAAACTTGACTGCGCAAAGCCGTAATTTTTATCAACAAATAAACACAATAACAAGCGCTTAGTTGCTCAATCACATAGCAAGCATTTCGGCAAATATCAAAAAGTGTGAAGAGAAAAACCGAACAAAAAATATTTCGATGTAATATAATTTTCTACAGAAACTTAACACGGCGCGCATCTCAGACATTTACATTTAAATTTACTCCGACTTCCAAAATGCCACAAGCAGAAGTTCAAGGTCAGCGGCAACGACTTGGCCATCATCGAATTGAAGGTCGCTCCGAAATAAGTCGCGAACTGTACAATGCGATATATGATATAAGTGCAACCTTAATTTATGTAATTACCGAGAGTCAGAGTCTGGTGCAACGTCATAGTGCCCGCTTCATGGCTTTCTGGCATGCACAATTGCGGGGCGAAATGTGGAGCGAGGTGCACGATACACGAAACGAAGACATCCTCTAACAAAAACTGCTCCTTTTTTGTTGTTATGCAATAAAATTTCTGGTTTAACTTCATTATGGTATGACTGCTTGCTTAAGTGTTCTTAGATGTCAAACATTGGCCTGCAGAGGTAAGCAAAAATGCAATACCACAAATTCGATTTATTGCAAAAGTCCAAGGGAAACTGTCTAGTAAAAGGGTTAGGCCAACCGAACGAACGATGAATCGGCACAAGTATCTTGTTTCTGTCAGAGCCTTAAATCGGATTTTCCACAATTGCAGATGCAGACATGTGGCCTCAAGTGGCAGTTGCCTCGTTTCTATAATGCAATTTGATAACCAATCAATGCTGAGAAATTGTTGGAATTATCTTGCCATATTGAATTGAATCAATATTGATTGAACAATTGATCGAACATATAAGTAGTAGTTTGGCTGCCATGTTATATACACTCTTAGCTTCATTTGCGACCTCACATGCTTTTAAATAAAAAAGTGTTCATATCAAAAGAATTGAATTTAAATATACACATATATAAACTTCACGCTTTTAATTGATTAAAATGAAATAAACACTACTCATAAATGGATGTGATAAATGTAAGCACCAGATGCAAAGTTGTTAATTGATATTGAACTGCGGCCACACATTAATTGTATTAAAAAAAATTGCCCAGCCAACTTAATTAGTGCAATCAAACTCAAATCAATTTACTGGGCTTGTTATTCAGTACACCATCATCACGAATATTAATTAATGAATTAATTAATAAAGCGTTGATTTTAATTTGAATTATTTTGCATAAAGATACAAATTGAACAAGCAATCAAATACAGCAAACAAAAGAGCATTCAGATTGTATAGTATAGTAGTTTATTGAAATGCCCATTGGTTTTCATAAAAGGCAGCAAACACACAATAAATTATTTCATTCAAATTTACTTTAACGGGGGAAAAAAACAAAACAAAATATAAAACAAGCACTTAAATATCTACAAATATTTTAAATATAACAACCTAGTTAACAATGCCAACAACCTTGTCGACAACATAATGAATTCAATGACACGTAATGCGACATCGTGAAAAATGAAATAAACGAAATGAAGCGAAATGCAGAAACCAAACACCCAAATAACCAAAAACATAAAAGGAGCTACATTTTTCCGCGCACGTAAGTATGCTACGATTTATTTCGTGCATGACAGGCAACTGACTGCCTGTCTTTTTCATTTCCCGATTGCCCGCAAAGTAAACAAAAACAACTGGCATAAAAAGAAGCGAAAGCAGAAAAAGAAGAAGAGTAACAGTGTGGCGAATACAACAACTTTGCGGACTGTCAGCATGTCCTTATACCGACTAATTCATTAACATTTAACTTGATTGACACCCGAGTCAAATAAGCTGCTACGAGTAGTGGGGCATGTCCATACTTTTGTGTTTATTTTGGGCAGCGCGCACGTTCAAAGCGCGACGTAGCTATTTACATTTATATGCAGATAAATATGTATATATGTATGTATGTATATTTATATATTTGTATGTATGCAAGCATCTACTTAATACAAATACATTTATATGTTTATGTGTTGGAGTACATCAGCATTTTAATCATGCGACTTGTTTATACAGCTATAATGCATAATGACATTGAATTTGGCTTACTAAGTATGCGCACGCACTCACACACAGAGCACACGCCCGCACGCACTCGGCACATTGTTATTTTGTTAATTTAATAAAAAGACAGCCGCATCAGTCTCAAACGCTAGGACAACAACAGGTGCTGGCTCACCAATCGCTCTCGACGCCAACTCGCCTGTTTGCCAAATGAAGTCACGTAGCGCGCATAAATCAATTCCTGTGAGACCGTGCCGTGAAAATTGCACGATTGCATACAACGACATTCAGGACGATGCTGGCGCCGGCGTGTTTTGTTGCCAAAATGCTTTGTTTGCCAGCTGGCAGCTGGCCCAAATTTAGCGCATGCAATGAAACTGTAACGAGCGTTAATTTGTTTTGTGCTACAACGAGGATAGGAATGGCAAGGTGAAGCGGCGGCTGGCCTATCAACAAATTAATTCGAATTATGAGAAATCAACGCCCTAAATACTTGTAGACGAATGAAACAATTTGGTATTCCGGGCAGCGAATAGTGCTATGCTATGGCCAGAAAGCATTCCAACTCTCATTAAAAAAAGAACAAATTAGTAATGACAGGTACGCAATGTTTTGAAAAAAAGGTTGTAATGCCCCCACCCATTATCATTGCATTTGGGAAGTCAATTATTTAAAAAGTAAAGAAATGAAAACATACTCTTATATACAAGTATAATATAAAATACACTTTCAAGTTTAAAGTAGAAGTAGTATATATGGATGTGGCATAAATGTGTCGAAATTTAAAAAGTTTTACCAAAGGCCTTGGCAATTTCATGAAAATTTTGCGTTTCCTGTAATTTTGAAGGTAAGAAATTGTTTCACCTAAACGTCCCTAAAAGCTTTAATTGAAACATCGCCGGTGACATAGGGATCACATTAGCTTTGACGGTCATAGCCATTAATGGCCATTAATACTCAACTATAATTAGGGATCTAATCGAAGTTATAAAAATCAAAGGACGTATTGGATAAGATGTGACGTCGGAAAGTTTAGAAAGCACTAAGATTTAGTGGCGCAGCAACGCAAGCCGGAAACGCGAGTATATAATTAAAAATACAGAAAATAATATATTAAAATCAAATTTTAATTTTCAAAGGTCTCTATCCCCGACATACACCTGATGGAACAAGATTTAGGAACTGAAAACGATGGAGGAATATTTTGGCATTTTCTCGACAAAAGCACCACCAGCAGACTAAAAAATCAGAAAGCAAGTTTATGTGTTCCTAAACAACAAACATCAAGTGCAAACAGATTCTATTTTTCCAAGTATACTACATCTGTTAGTTTTTCAGATTTCTTCACTATTTTGGAAACTATTTTATGTTTCAACTACACTTTTCAAAACTAAGCTTGTTAGCTACTTATTTGTTATTCATCTCATGAACCGAGGTTGAATTCCACTTTAAATGGATCAACCACTGCTATAAAAATAAACACAAGTTTCAACAAAACTAACATTTGAGCGAAAACGTGGAACTAAAATTGTCGTGGAATGCAACATTCGGTAGAAAATGCAAGTGAGAGGGAACAAGGAGTGGATTAACAATGCGTATTGTAGTCCATGAAAAATATAATATATTTTCTATTTCACTTTTTAACTGTATTTTGTGGAACAACAGTGTGAATTTTAATAGTACGTATGGGTTTACCATCTCAAAATGGACATCGCAGCGTCTAGAAGGTCTGGAATGTCCCAACCATAACGACGGAGTGTTTTCAAAGGACGCACAAGCTCTTTCCTAACCTGTAAAGGACATATATATGTTAGTAATTATTCATTTAGTTAAAGCATGGACTACTCACAAGACTCTGTTGCAGTTGCATTTGGAATTTTTGTGAGGAAATGGTGCGCGCAAAACGTGCAAAGTTCGAATTGCGACTCTGGGCTTTTACACTGTAGGCATGTACTTTCGAGCGTGGCATGGCCGCAAGGACATCACCGATAAAAGTATGTCCACGCAATTCCTTGCAGTCACAGTCACTGTCGCCCTTAGGTACCGGCAGCACGATGCAGCTGAAAATGTCCACCACATTCTGAATGTGTGTGGTGTTTACACCGGCATTTCGCAGTGATATCAACAGCGTCTTGAAAGCGGTGCTGTTCTGCAGCATTTCAGCGACCTCGTGAAAGCGAGTGGTATTATAAAAGTTCATGGCTTTACGGAATTTGGAGTCGCATTGATAGTGGGATTGGATGAGCTCCACAAGCTTGCCGCGCTTGATGGTGGCGCGAAGTGATTGGAAATCTTTGCATAGATCACCATCGCGATTATCATCGCTTTCGTCATTGCAATCATCTTCACTGCCACCGCCTTCACCACTGCCGCCACCTTCACCATTACCGCCGCCTTCACCACTGCCGCCGCCTTCACCATTGCCGCCGCCTTCACCAGTGCCGCCGCCTTCACCATTGCCGCCGCCTTCACCAGTGCCGCCGCCTTCACCATTGCCGCCGCCTTCACCACTGCCGCCACCTTCACCATTGCCGCCGCCTTCACCAGTGCCGCCGCCTTCACCATTGCCGCCGCCTTCACCAGTGCCGCCGCCTTCACCATTGCCGCCGCCTTCACCACTGCCGCCGCCTTCACCATTGCCGCCACCTTCACCGCCTCCGCTTTCGCCGCCTTCACCAGTGCCGCCGCCTTCACCAGTGCCGCCGCCTTCACCAGTGCCGCCGCCTTCACCATTGCCGCCGCCTTCATCGCCACCAATGGCACTCTTGATTCGTTGCTTCCCACCATGAGGCGGACATTTAGTAACTTTGTCCTTGGAGGCCATCGCTTCCCATGTCAGTACCAGCACTAACATGCAGAGCATAAAGCTCATCGTCTTCAACCGTAACATATTCAACCAAACAAGAGCACAAGCGCGCTCCCAGATCGCTTTGAATACTAGCAGAGCCGCCCAAGACACACACATTTTTATAGCCACTTCTTCACAATTACGCAAATTACCTTTTAATGTCGCTTTAAATGCAACAAGTGCAACAAGCATTCTTAATAGCCAGTTGTATCACACAAACAAGGCGAGACAAGCGAGACCATCTAATTAACGTAATTTTCAGTTGCCATAGACGACGCTGGCCTTTTATCAGTTTTCTGTTTACAATAACCGATGAAATTGAAAGGCGCCAGCTGCAGTCTTATATACTTGTAAAATGAAACATTTTGCGACTTCCGACAAATAATTACAATTCATACAATACACATACATATGTATATATCTTTCCAAAGCAATAAAAACGGTATAATACGAGAATCACTGAAATGGATAACCAAGGATAAAACTCATTTTTACAATGTTGGAGCAATTTTTTAATATATGTTAGAATGAGTTTTTATAAAAATTTGTTGTATAGTATTTTTGTATAGCTTCCACGTAAAGGAATACAATTTTTAAGATCCTATCTTTTTTCACTCGGAAAACATTTTCGTATTACTCAAATAATTTAAAATTTCATGGCAGTGCCCTTGCTGATCCATTTTTTTCATTGAACTTAACTTGGTTTAGAGTAATAGGTCATAAAACTAAATAAAACAAGAAAATATAATATAATTTTTACTTCCTCGCCTATTCAAGCATCTTTAAATTCTTGCAAATGCCTATACATATTTTTCATTAGCACATTAACATTTACTATATATAGTATTACATTTGGATTTATTTATGTTATGTATAGTAATTTATTTTATATGAATCGGGTCATTTCCATTGTATAGTATTTTAAGTGAATGTTTTCATAAAGAAGGTTGTTACAAATCCAATTCCTTACAATTTACATGCCCATCAAAATATTAACCTATTAATATACGCAATGTTTACATTCTGCGTAAATGCCAATTATCAATCGAGGATTAGAAGGGAACCCAGCAACAGCTACTTCTAAACGTGTTCAGCATTACCGAGTCCTTAACTCAGCAGCCTGTTTGTTGGAAAGGTAGGGACCCTACACAAATTAACTGAAGTGCAATCGAGTGTGGCAAGCGCCCAGAGAGTATATTGCAACACAATGGAGAGCAGCATGACTACTTTATTGAGGCAAGTAGCACACACGCACACATGCACAACCTCACTTTTTGGGGTAGCTGGTAAACATTCTTAAATATAGATATGCAATTACACTGCATAATTAACTGAAATGTACGAGTGTTGCGTTTGCTGCATTGTAGAAAAATTAACGAAGTGAAAATGACGTGGAAAAGAGCTACACTGATAAAAAAAAAACACGAAAATTTACCATCGATTTTGCACCATCGTGTGTTTTAGTAAATATGAAGTGTGCACACGTAAATTTTAAATTTAATATGAGAGTATTATTTAAAATGTGACGATATTAAATCACAAGTGATGATGTGGAGTCGTAGATTTGATTCACGCCAAAGGTTTATTTTTATAGCCTGTACCCAAAGGGTGAAAGGTTATACTAGTTTTGTGCGCATGTATGTAACACACAGAAGGAGGCGTGGCAGACCCCACAAAGTATATATATTATTGATCAGGATGAGAAGCCGAGTCGATATAGCCTTGTCCGTCCGTCCGTCCGTCTGTCCGTCTGTCTGTCCGTCTGTCCGTATGAACGCAAGGATCTCAGAAAGTATAAGAGCTAGAATAACCAAACTTGGTTTCCATATTCTCCTAAGACCGAGAAAGTAGGAGTTTGAGTTTTTTTTCGATGCACCCCCCCCCCCCCCACTCCCCCGCAATTCGTGTTTTTTCTTATAACTTCCGTAATTCTCGGAATTTTGAAATCAATTTTGGTAGGTACATCCAGTTAGTACTAATGTGTCCGTATGCCAAATTTCATCATGATAGGTCAATTCTGAAGAAAGTTATAGCCATAAGTAAAATCGCTGCTCATGCGCTGCCTGCAGCTCTGTCGGCAGCGCTGCCCGCAGCTGTTGTTGTTGTTGCTGCTTTGGTTCAACTTTGTGCTGCATACATACACGCATATAAACACGCATAGGTACGTGATGTAAATGTATGCTGTTAAAACTGAACATAAACATGTATTCTCATTTAATTTAATTAATTCATTCATTCATTCATTTTTTTTAATAATTTAATTTTTTTTTTTAATTTTTTTTTTTTAATTTTTTTTTTAATTTTTTTTTTTAATTTTTTTTTTAATTTTTTTTTTTTTTTTTTTGAGAGTACAGGCTATTTTACTGTCGGGCTTGCTCGACTGTAGCGTTCTATCTTGTTTATAATTATAAAATATTTTATCCACTTTTTACCTGCTCTACTGGTTTTTTAACTCAATATAGACATTTCCATATTTTATTTCTTTTGTTCTATTGAACCGTATTTAGCAGAAAGTAATTTTAACATTTCCTTTGTTATTTTGAATTAATGTTCTTGTTGTTGTTTTTGTATGCCTTTTATTAGTAAGGATATAGTTTGGATCAATATTAATATTAAAAGTGAGGAGCAGCTGAAGTTGAGAAAAATATTAAAATTTAGTATGGAATATAGTAAATTTAACTATTTGTTTTTTGAAGTGTGTGCACATTAATATTTAATATGGTTCAACATTAAATGGAATATGACACACTATAATAAAAAACTTTTACATTTTGTTTTGAATATTATTCATATTAAAAACACTAATTGAATATGTTTTTAGTAAAATTTAAGATGTTTTTATTTGATTTGAATATGAAATAGTAGAACATTAAATTTAATATGAAAATATTCGCCTGTACTATGCAACTTTTTAATCATTGTAGACATGGAGATTTACACAATTCACAGCTACACACAATGTAAACATGTGGATCTTATTCATAACAATGTTTTCAGGACATTTACGAGTACGCATACGAAGCACGTTGTGGCTTAATGTGCCCTCAATTTGACCAATAAAATCATAAATTGACAAAGAAACCCAATGGGTGTCCAGATATAGTAAGTATGTAGGTTGGGAGTAGAAAATCAAGCCCAAAGCTAACCCTAATTATTATGCTAACTAAAACAGTGCTACACTTATTTTTATAGCTCAATGATTTTATATTTATTCTGTTGTTCATTTCATTTACAGACGCACATAAAACGGGTCCAACACAAGCACACATAAAAACAGGCACCCAAATGATCCAAAACACAAAACGCCTTTCTAATAATCATACGCACTGATGCCCAATGTAGGCATTTCAAATACAAAAATGTTTCACAAATGCCATTTTCATGACAACAGACAATTGCTTGTTGACCAAACGGAAGTTAAATGCATAAGCTAATGTAGCGTGAATAGTTTGCCATTTACATTTGGGCCGTTGGATAGTGATTCAGTAATTTGTGCTGTCGTGTGGAGTATTACACTCCACATACTATAATTCACAATGTTTGCAATAAACGGTTCTCCACTTTAAAGCAAATGCAAAGAAAAATCCATCCACTGTGGCACAAATGAAGCATATAAATACTTCCATATACCATGCCACCAGATGGGCCCAAATAAATATACTCTACTCGTATACTCGTATACTAGTTCAGCCGGCCATTGCAAAAGTTCTAGCAGGTAAAGGTAAAGTTAAACAGGTTAAGCAGCACACAAACTTTTTCTAAGGTTAAGTGGGCGGGACACGCGTACACCCACGCACACATTCATCCGTATCCTGCAGTTGAGCAACAAAATACCAATACGTATTGACATCTAAGCCCAAGTGTCTGAGAGTATATGTGTGTGTGTGTGTGTATGTGTGACTGATGAAGACCCTAATGGAAGCTTTTGTGCAATTCATGTGCAACATGTATCATCATGATAAATCATTCCTGCCCGAATGTTTTGCTCTTGGAGCACTAGCTACTAGTACCCACTCACTGGCAAATTGGAATATGTCAAATGGGAATAGTTGAGCTCTGAATGGGTGCAGAAGTCAGTTGAAATGATCAGCACATTTTAGATATATAGAGCAAGCAAATAAATATTCATTGCAGCTCTATGTTTATCCGATAAATGTATAAATTAATATTGTGATATGCTTGCACTTTTGAGAATTCCCTTCATTACACCCCCTTCATCCCTTCAGAAGTTGCGCAAATTAACGAAGCAAATGCTTTGCCGACATGTGGATATATTCTAAAAGAAATTTTCATTTTCTGTACTCACGCCACAAACACTCAAAGATTGGCCTTTTGATTTGTTGATCGTTTTTGGAAATGCAAGACATAGTTTTGGTTGGGTCAGATTAAAAAGTATGACTCGGTAGTCAGCTAAGCTTCATATAAAAAGCCTGGCGAATCCAAGCTGGTGCACTCATCCTATTGTAAATCGAAAGAGTACCTATAGACGGGAAAACAGTCACTGAACCAAGTTGTTATATATGTTGTTGTTAAAGTCGTAAGTGCAGTTCAATATTTCTATAATTATCCTATTTATTTCTACAGTGGTTTGAGAAACAATTACTTTTTGGTGGGCTTGTGATCATCACCGTTTATTAAGTGATATGCACGGTGGGTCGCCCGCATAAACAACCTGAAACATTCTTCCGCAGCGAAATTTAAACCAAAAATACAGGAATACTCAAATAAATAATGGGCTGCCAATGCAATGTGGATGCGTAATATAAATGTACGAACATTGCTGGTGTCATAGAAGTACATACGTATACATGTGTAATAATTTATTTAATTATGCTTTTTTTTCCTAATAAAATGTCCCGGCCAGAACAAACCGCAACAGTTTGTGTATATGTCTTTGATGGTGAATTGCATTTATTTTTTGACTGCTGCTAGTTATTTCTGATTTTGCAC